CGGCGCTGGCTCCGCAGCTCAACGCAGCGGAGCCACGTCTTAGGCTTGGTGTCGCACCTCGCCGGTCTCTCCAACGGTGCCAAGCCCGACAAGTTGTCGCTGTATGCGCTGCTTCGATTGGTGGGCACCGTCCTGGAGCAGCTATGGCCACAAGCCGACGGCGACTTGCGCGGCGTGCTAGTGGCGCTCGCGGCCGTGTGTCGAGAGGCGTACGTTCGTGGCGGCTTGCTGCTGCCACTGCCAGGCATGCGTGACGGCGACCTCGTCGACATCCCGTTCGACCCCCGGCACTGCGCCGACTGCAACGAGGTGTGGCACTTTCTCAGCGACGGAACGCGACTCCGACTGACGTTCGATCGCCGCGCGCGGCGATCGACTTTCTCAACGAGGACGAGTGGATGGGCGCGATGCGAACGAGCATTCTGCGCCCCGCCGAAGTGGCACTGGCCATCACCACGATGGACGTCGACGTCGTCTTCTCGCACCTCTGCGTTGACGCGACTGGCGACGCCGATGCGCTTCGGCCCGGCCCCGACGACGCGCCGGGGTCGTTTGGCCTGCTGCTTCTCTTGCCGCACCACCACGCTGGTGGCGCACTGACTTTTGCCCACAACGGTCTCTCGACGAGCTTCAAGACGCACCTGTCGTCCTATGACGTGGCGGCCACCTATCACGGCACATCGTGCGCGCGTTTGGCTGGCCGGCGCTCCAGCACGCGATGCTCAGCCTCGTCCAGCGGTGGAATAGACATTGGAAACAATCCGGACCGACCTGCCAACTGCTCGCAAGTCTCGCTCGGATCACAGAGCCCTAGACTGCCGTCTGCCCTCCGCTGCGCCAGCCCTTTGTCTTCGAGTGCATCAAAGCGCTCTGGGACGCGATGCCCGGTTCTCACCACCGGTACATCAGCAATGAGCTCAACAAGTGTCGTATCCTCCTCGACGCGTACGTGGACGACGACGAGAAGAAGCACTGGCTGCGTCAAAAGCTTCCAGTCTCGCTGCTCCGTCACATCGACGCCTTTCTCTACAAGCGCCGTCATGGCACGTACACCTTGCTCGAGGCCAACACCCGTGTCGGCGTCTTTAGCCGACTCGAGAGCCACTGTGTATCGCTCGTTCTCGCGCTCCAAAGCCGCCCGACGCTGCCATCCGCACCGCGCTACAAGGAGGCCATTCTCGCTGACATGGCTTTGGCGCTCGCCAAGCGCGTGCCGTTGGCAAAGTACGAACGTCTGCGCCCGATCGAGTGCGGCAGTCTCTTGCAGATTCTGCTCTCGACCCGGCCGTGCGACGCCTCCCTCCTCGACGACCTCGCCGCGCTCAGTGGCAAGTATACCGTGAGGGGTATCCTCTGGTTTCTTAAGCAGCAGCAAGTATCGACGCTCGACTCGAATTTGCACGCCGTCTTGTCTCGCTTTCTTGCTTCGCGGGCGCAGAGGCTCCTGCAAGCTACGCTTCAGACAGCGAAACCCACCGTCGACGTGATCGTCGCACTGGGGCTGCTTGCACCGGACGAGGATGTGCTGGCGTTTGTGCAGGCGTGGCGAGCCGTCGCCAACAACGACGAGGTCTACGCGGTGATTGCTCGGCTCCAAACCAAATGCGACTGCCCCGACGTATTGCTGTACCTCGTGCACGTGTGCCGGGCCGCCATACTTCAGAACGGGTCGCTGGATCCGGTCCCGCCCCTGCCCGACTGCTATGTCTTTGACAATCTTGACCTGGACCCTGCGCACTGCGATTGCTGCATGGCGTTGGACGAGTTTCTGAGCGATGGGACCATAGCGGTGACGACAATGTGGGGCCGCATCTGCCGCCGCGTCCTCACGCTTCTCAAA